ATCAATTTCTTCGCAATAACAGGACGATTCGGCGTCGTACAGTTACCCCCAAGAACCTGGAGGAGATATCTCGGAGTCCGGGAAAACGCCCCCGGGGAGGAAACCCGCGCCTCGTTGCCAAGGACGCCTATGCCACCGCGAAATGTCTTGATTATGGAACGCGGGCCGGCGCGACGAGTCAAACTGGTTTCGCGAGGATACTCGCGAAAAACGAATCGCAGGAGTAATTAAAGCGCTCCGCCTGAATTCCGCGGTCGGCCCGATTTTTCCTCCCCTCGGTGTCCTCCGTATCGCGCGACTCGACCGCTCCCCCGACTTCGTTATCGGAGCCCGATTACCTAACGCTCCTCGAGTCAGATGTTAAAAAAAAAAAATCCCCGCACCTGGAGGAACGGGTCCCAGGAATTATCGAAATCGAGGCAAGGCCCGGTCCCTCTCTCGAATTTGACTTTTCGATAAACCCGCCACGTGATCGGCACGCTTTCGCCCGAGATCGTTCGGGGCCCGATCCGTTACAATGCTCCGCTTTGTCTCGGCGCTCTTTTTCCGCCCCTCTTCCCTTCCCTCTTTATCGCCTCCGCTCGTTTTCCCATTTATCCGAGTCCGCGCCCCCGCCCCCCTTCCGGGTCGGTCTCGCTCCCTCTCTCCAAAAGATAAAAAGCGAACAAAGCGAGGAAGGGGCCGAACAACCCGATCCGGGACCAGGACCGTCCCCGAGGCCGCGGAGGCATCGCCGATGCCCCTCGTCTCTCCGTTGGCCCAGGTCGGGCCTACCCTAGGTCCCTGCTTTTCCCGTCCAGGAAAAGCCTCCCCAGGCTCACCGAAAAATCCCCAGAGTTCCCAGGAACGACCAACTCGACCTTTTCGAGCTGGTCCACGGTCATGGCCGACCCGGGTCGATCCTCTCGCTTTTCGTCCCCCAGGTCGGGAAATACCCTCCGCTCGCCGCGTCTTTCATCCCGTGAGACGATTCGGCGCAAAAGGACGGCGCGGTCTCGCCGCGCGGATAGGTGACACTCTCCTGCGGCAGGCCGGATAAAACGTATCACGCGATTAAACCCAGAAGGACGTAATCTTATACACGGCGGTTACGCCTCTTCGGCCTCCGCTCCGAACGCAGGGAGAGCTCGGCGCGTTTCGATGCGTCCGTATAAAAAGAGCGAGTCGGCGCCTCCACCGCGTCTCCTTTTGCAGAAAATGCCCCCGTTTATCGGGGGTTCCCGATATCGCCGAAATGGCCGATCTCCCTATCACGTCTTTCCATCGAACGGAGCGGAGGGGAGGAGGAAACTCGAAAAAGCGCACCTCTCGGCGTCGGGGTGGTCCTCCCCTTCCTCTCTACCTGGTTATCGAGTCGCTCCTCGCCGAGATGGGTAAACAGGGAGCGGGCCAGGTTTCTCGGCTCATCCCGACGGACACGAAAATACCCAAAGGGGAGGGGAACACGGAAAGCGTCTTCGCGCGATCCGTCGACCGAAGGCAAACCGTCGGGGGAAACGTCCGAGACGAGTTTTCGCCTTTCGGAGGGCTTTGACGAAGGTTAGGGTTGGTCTAGATGCCGGGCCCCGAGACTCCGAGGAGATTCATTTTTCAAGGGATCCAAAGACCTGCTCTCCGCGGCCCCTCTCTCGCTCTTCTCCCCCCCCTGGCCCGCCGCTCGCTCCGTCTTTTTCCCTCCTGCGCGCAAGGGCTGTCCAAAATCCGGGCCCACTGATTTTTCGGGCCCGATCCGGGAAATGGACCGGAAAAGTAGGTAAACCGACCCCGCTCGATGACGCGCCGTTAATTACCACCGTGGACCGAAGGAAACCTTCGGGTCTCGGGACGGTCCCTTTTTTTTTTTTCCCCATTTTCGCCCCCATGACGTAGACCCGGGATTTACTTTCAGCGCGCCCATTTCCACGAAGCGTCGAATATCGAGCTCCTCTCATTTCCATACGACGAAACCGACGAAGCGGTCGGCCGGCCAAGCGGCACGGCAAATTTTCAACCGAGGCGGATGTACGTTCTCGCTGTCAAAACACGTCCATTAACCGACGCGTCGCCCGTCCACTCTTAACAAGGTCCCGGGCGATAGGCAAATCGGCCCAACCTTGCCATCGGATATCCTTAGATGAATCGGTTAAAGATGAAATGAATTAACGACGGAATCCGGGTTTTATGGGGCTATCCTCCACCCCCGGGCGAAAGAATCGTCCTCTGTGCGCGGTTTCCCCACGGGGAGCGAATCCGTCGAGAACGGAACGTAATTAAAAGGGGAATAACTATTACGGAGCAAAAAGAGGTAGGAATCTTAATTGAAACGGCGGGTCGAAGGCGGGGGGCGATCCTCGGATTTAATCGACCATTTCTGGGGGGACACCCGACGAGAGGAGGCGGCGCCCCCCCGAGAGGGGGGCTACGTATGACGTACTCGTTAACTGCCAATTACTCGGATTTAATCGTCGAGCCCGTTGATCGTTTCAACGACTCCTAGAATGAACGCGAGTAACGTATTCATCGGCGCTCCGCGTCATCTCCCTCCGCGGAGAAATTCATTTAATACCTCCCATTCGAGAGCCGAGAACGTGGTGGAAAATAAATCGCCTTACCTTCTTCGTCGGATTTCAGAGGCGCAAATCAATTGACGAGGTGGAAAATTCCCGTCCGGGAGGTCGAGCTGTTCCCCGGGACTGTACTCGCGGCGGGCTCGGCCGCCGTGCCAGCCGGGACTGTACCCCCAGTTGTTTACATTTTAACCGATGGCGGCGTTGCCAAGTCTGCGGACCTGTTGCGCCCGCCGCGTCCCGAAGAACTCACCCGTCCATTAATTACCACGTTAATGACGTACGAATCGAATTTTAATCGGAGCCGTAGTCGGGGTTTTACGAACGCGGCTTTTCGCGATCCTCCGGGTCCGAGAGGTTAGGAAATAACGACTCGGACGAGACGCCCCGAGGGTGGAAAGCGGACAAGAATTTAGTTTACTCGTTAAGAGAGACTCGTCCGAACCGAACGAACCTAGATACCTCGCTTTTTTATGAAATATCCGCGACCAAGGGAATTGAAACCGTAAAAGCGAGGTCACACGAAGAGCTACCGTGCGCCGAAAGACGCGACGACGCGTCGTTCGAGGAAGCCGAGTTCCCCGGAATGTCGTTATTCTTCCGCAAGAAGAGCGCCATCGGTCCGTCGCGCCGAAAGGAAGACGGTCTCGTCCGCGAACGACAGGGAGTCGAGGGCCGGCCAATCGGGCGGCACCGCTCGGCGCGCACGTTCGGTATTTCCCGGTCTCTCACGTATTTCAGCAATAATTGCGTACGTGCAAGCAGCGCGCCAAAGGAAAAAGCTCTGCCGGCCGTATAAGGCCTTCACCGCGATAGTTGGGATATCTTTTTCCGACCTTATCGTGCAAATCCATCGGGGAAGCGAGGATCCTCCTATTCGAGAAAACGGAACGTTCGAGACAACCTCCGGATCGCGTCCATCGGATCGAATCTTTTCCCGTAACATGAAAAAAAATTGACACCGGCGGGGCATCGATACCCCTGCGCGGCGGGTTGCCGCGCTCTAGGCGCCGCCGAAGATAGCCGAGTCCGCCCGAGAACGGCCGAAGGGTTTTCGTCGACGCCGCGGGAGATTCGATTCGAATTTCGGAGTGTCCATCGCTGCTAGGGTATGTCGTTATATCGCGGGTGTCCGGCGTCCGGATAAGAAAGTCGCGCACGGGATACGCGTGTGCACCCGCGCGCGCGCGTGCCCGTGTGCGTCCGCGCGATAACCACTTATCGTATCCGGCTCCCCTTACGCGAACGTTGTCACTTACCAGACGCGAACGACGCTCGACGTTTTGCGCGCTCAAAAGGCTCCGCGTCGCTCGGCCGTATCGAACGGCGATCGACCTATCGATCAGTCGATCGATCGCCCTGGCGGGTCCCGCGTTTTCATCGCTTACGTTTTAAATTCGACGCGTTATTAGTTGCGACGTCGCTCGTCCAATCGCCGATGACGTTCTCTTTTGGAACCGATTAACGACGTCGGATAAGGACGTTACGCCGTGACGTGGATAGAAGTTCCTCGCCACTTTCGCGCGCCGAGTCGGCTTCGTGGCTCTCGTTTTCGTTTACCGGGATTCCTATTAAGGAGCTCCTAGTCCGATGGCTGTTCCTTTTGATAATTAGGTACATCGACGGTAAGGTAAAAGACGTCTCGCGATGACGAGGGGACTGAAAAACCTCCAGGATCCGGTTTACTCCGTTTTCCCCCAGGTTCAAGGAACCACCCCGCAAGGTCCGCGGCGAACGAAAAACCACCGCGAGGTCATTTTTGCTCCTCCAAGTTAGCATTTAGTGGCGCCTGGATAGCGAACGAGAGGCAATCGTACATATTGCCGGAGTCCGGTATGTAAAGGCGCAGTTCGAAGGTGGTTTCCTTTCTAAGTGGTTAAGTGGATTTTAAATCTCTAAGACAGTCTTTCTTGCCGAAGAACCGCGTGGCCGTGTGCCGGGTAAGCAGCGGGTACTACACGAGCGGCTTTGGTCATGGTTGGCTAAGGTCCTTCGGAAATGGGTGAACAGGACGCCGAGTACGCGCGGCGCAGGCTACGTGGGAAAAAGGAAGGATAGGTAAAAATACGCCGGCATTTTTTTTTTTTTTTTTTCTATGCCGCGCTTCCACTCGGCAAGTGTAATAAGAACTACCTGCCTTGAGATTGGCGAACGTCGTCCCCGCGTAATGCGCGCAGAAGAGCACGAGTAACCTCCTGGGCTTGCTCGTTTGATGACGAGCACTCGGCAAATGTCTCCGGGAGAATGCTCGGGGAAAGGAGGAAAATGTCATGAACCTCGCGGAGGCGTCTAAGGGGACGAAAACCTGGAAAGGTCTCGCCACGAAGAAGTACCGAAAGATCCGTCTCCTCGCTCCCAGGAGAAACCACGTGGACCAGCGTCCTCGAACGTTCGTCTCCTGCTGTTCGACACCGCGTTATCGGAGGCAAATATAGCCGCTTATCGGATACTTACTTCCCTTCTTCCCCTTTTCACAGACCGGAGCAGTCTCGGCGCTACCAGCTTTGGTCGGAAGAACGCCCTCGGTGTTTGCCCTCCGCCTTCGGCGATCCACCGGGTCGCTCGTGGCCTGGAATTATTTTCGGAGTATTTATGCAACCCGGAGAGAGCCGCGGATGAATGCTCGATAACGAGGCACCTCGAACTCGAGGTGAGAAATAATTGTTACCCAGATGTCGGGAATAATCATCGGAGAGGAATATATATAGCGCGAGATTGCGACCGGTCGTTCTCATTCGCACCTACCTGGCGACATCTTTTCTCGGGGACGTCGCGCCGAACGTCGGCCCTGTCGCCTCGCCTCGACCTCCCGCTTGCTCAATTTTATTAGCATTCAAGTGCGAGGCTCGAATCGATTGCGACACTTTTTGCGAAATTCGATTATTCAAATGCGACCGCTTTCCCTTTCCGGCGAGACTCGCCCGATAGGATTCGCGTGTTCTGGACGGGGCTGAATTTTCGCCGAAGTCGGGCCGACCTCGAAACCGAAAAATTGTCCAACCTGTAACTCCGGATCTGCGGTTTCGTCGTCGTCCCGGCGGGTTCCTGGTTCGCCGGTCCTTCCACGGTCGAGGGAGTCCCGCCACCCTGCCGAGGAAATTTACGAGTGCCTTCAATAGGGGGTCGTTATTCCGCCTCGTTGTCCTCCAAATTTTCCTTTCAGTCGCGCCCCAACCTGCCAGGAAAACGGAAACGATCGGCTAGATCACCTTGTTGGGAACCTTTTAAAAAGGGAAGAAAACTGTCGAGCAAGAAAAGTCCCAAAATTCTGCATCGTTGATATACTCTCAACTTTGTAAATTGTACCGCGGCTTCGTCGCCCGACGAAGGAGGTACCCGTAAATCCCAGCAACAGGTGACGTTAATACACGGTCCCGATAAATCGTGGGATCTCTCGTAATGCGATTCCTCAAGGTAAGACGGCGTCGCCGGTGACCCTGTCACCCGAGGGGGATCGTAATTCGTTTTCATTGTCGCCTAAATTTTCCATTCACCTGCGCACCGGGGCCGGTCCGAAATAGGAGGCCCGAAGGAGGACCGATTTGCAAGGTGCCCCATTCAGGCCGGAATGTTCGCTCAAAAGTGCTCCCCTGCCCACAACAGGTCCCCCATTTTTCGGGCCCTCTCTTCCCCGCCCTTCCCCGAGCAAAGATTCACCCCTCGGGGCCCCGTTCGGTTTTCTCTTCGCCCCTCGTATTTTCGAAGACAACATTACCCGGGACATCCATCTCTCCTCCGTCAACAAATTTTCTGACGCGTCAGCTCCGACTAAACTTCGACCTCTGCATTTTTTAACGACGTTAGACCCCGACCCGACGATTTTTCCCTGTTTTTAAAAAGGAGGGAAATGAGCGTTTCATCGAGTGGAGTCGACGTCCCAAGATCGGCACGTCCCGGGGTTCCCACAGGAACCGCGTCCCGACGGTTCCCACAGACGTCTACGTTCTCCCCGATTGCGATTCCGCCGAAATATCCTCGTAAAAATAACGAGAGCCTGCCGATAATTTCGGTGCCCTCCCCCCTGCGCGGAATCTCGATAACAGAAATCGCTTCAAGAGCCGCCCTTCATTAGATGCTCCATTACCGGTATTACCGTGGCTACCACCGTTACTACTGTCATTACCTCCGCTACGATTTTTATTGCCACTTCTGCCGTTATTATCCTCGCGTCGAGACGACGACGTTCCGGTGCCTTGGCCCTAGGGATCATTTTTCTTTTCTCCGTTCCTCGTATTTCGGTCGATCTCCCCCTAGGTCGCCCCTCGAGGGACGTCGCGAGTTACTCACTCGGGCCTCTAGTGTTTTATATCAATTAATTCCAGATCTCGCATCCCGGTAAAGAGTTTCCCTCGATCGGAACTCCCGTATTTAACTCTCTAATCCCGCTGACTTCCGTCCTAACCTCTGACCGCGCGCGAAATCGAGCCCGGTCGAATTCGGCAGCGCGCAATTAAGAAGCAGGAAGGAGATACGTTATTTGTATTTCGACGCGGCAAAGCATATCCGAAGTGCCTCCTCGGCTCCGAATCGAGTTCCCGGGCGCGGGGCCAAGTCGACGGAATTCCTCCGGGACGTCCTCTCGGGAAATTTAAGGCCTCAACAATGGACGCGACGCGCCGATCTCTGGGTCGTTTTATCGGCCGGTCTTTCCGCGAGTCCGGGACTTTTCCGAATAACGTCCCTCCCTCTCCCCCTCGTCATTTGGCTCCATCCGCGAGCTCCGGCATACCGTTAAAGTCTATTTTAGCGCCGGTTTCGCCTCGAAGACGCCGCGGCGCGTTCTCCTGGTGGACCGGCCATGCCCTCTTCCACTCCGAATCCGGGCGCCCCGACGTCGATAAGAGACGTGGGCGCGCAAAACGTCGGACAAACGATCGCGACGGAGACTGGGGGTCACGGTCGTAGACCCCGGGTCCAATTGTCGTTTCGGGGAATATTTCCGGACCGGCGGCATCAAACGGCGACGTAAACGGAGCTCGTCGGCGCAGGGCGCAAAGGGGTGGACGCGCTCGGGGCGGCCACCCTGGAGTCGCCCTCCCGTAAATCCCATTGGCTGATTTACCGCCGCATCGTCCGCGGTTTAATTACGGAAACGGTCTAACGAGGTATCGGAGTGCGTTTCGCTGCCGCTGCGGAAACCTTGGATCCGCGATTGCGAGGCGGAGGGCGATAAGCGTGGACTCGTTCCGCGAAGGACGCGCGTCGCCGTCGCCGTTACGTCGGCCGGTCGTTTGGGATAATTGAGACACGCGGGTGCCGGAGGAAGCTCCCGGGATGAATTACGGTACGCGATATCGCCGATAAAATCCCCGCAACGCGCGATCCATCACCCGGGTCGGGACGCGCCGAGCGCGGGGGAATAATTGCTGGAAACTCCTGGCCGATCCTCCGGGACCCGGGAGGTTCGAGCGGCTCCGATCGACCCGCCTCGTCGACTCTTTTAACTTCTTACCACGAGAGCCACTCTGGAAACTCGAGACGGGATGCGACCCTTAGGACTTCTCGAGGGTCCGAGTCGTTATCCCTAGGCATTTCCCTCCAAGGGTCGCCGAGCCCCTCCAGCCCCCTCCCAGAACCATAGGTCGGGATTTCCTCCATAGTCGACGATCTCACAAATAGAGAGACCTCGAGATCCGAAACTTTGCGGTCTCTCCTTGGAGGCAGGACCTACTTGGCTCTTTTGGCGCTCTCGACGTCGAAAGGGTTCCCGCCGCCATTTTGGTCCTCCGCCGTTCCCCGGCGGGTCCTCGACAAAGGACCCAAGCTCGCCGCCTGAACCTTCAGTCAAGATTTCCCAAATAGAGAGACCTCGAGTTCCGAAACTTTGCGCCGTCTCCTGGGAGGCAGGACCGACTTGGCTCTTTTGGCGCTCTCGACGTCGAAAGGGTTCCCGCCGCCATTTTGGTCCTCCGCCGTTCCCCGGCGGGTCCTCGACAAAGGACCCGAGCTCGCCGCCGGGTTGCCCCGGCTTCCGAAGACGTTCCTCGTTTTTCTCCCGGCCAAACGAAACCGGGCCCCTCGCTCTGCTCCTTTTGCCTTCGCAAATTCCCCGGCCGGTCCGCGGTACTCTCGGCTTCGGTCCCGGTCATCCATCTTCCGGCTGGCGGATTGCGTTTTTTCCACCCTTTGCCTCCCCGCCCTCCCGTTTCCCGTCTCGGGATTTTTCCAACTTGTCGGAATCGATCGTCGCGGAGGCGCTGTCGGTAGTCGTAGCTCTATTCTATCTATACACGTAGCTCCCATCCGAAGCACCAGGTCGACCTGCGCGGTATATCCCGCGGGCACTTAATGCCGCCCAAGGTGGAAATACCGGTCCTCGCCGATCGGGTCCTGCAGGTGTAATTAAAGTAAAACGGTTCCGTTGGTAATCAGGCATCGGGAATAATCCCTGTCGCGAGGTGCGCGTCCGGTTTTGGGGAACCGTCGGTACATTAAAAGTACATCGAGAGGAGTACATCGGACAGATCGGCGTTCTCGCTCGCGGACGAGCCTCGAATTAAGCGGTTCGCTTACAAGGCCCGATTGTCGGCAGGAATAGAATCGCGCGCCTTCCCAGAGTCTCGTGTGAAGGGGCAATCGGGAAGCGGTCCTCCCATCTCGATGGTCGATCCATTTGTTTTAACGGCACGCGATTCTCTGGCATTAAGTGCCCCTTGTTCCGCCGTTTGTCTCTCCTCGTCGAGGCCCGTTCGCCCGGGTGGAATCGAGGCGAGGTATGCCCGCGAAAAATCCACCCTCTCGATTTTCCCCGATTTTCCGTCTTCCCACTTTTCGGGAGCGCGGAGAGAGGGAGGTGGCGATCGCTCGTTCGCGAACGCTCCTATCGCTGGTATCGTGTGGTTAACACCAGTGACGTCACTCGGCGTCACTGCGCAAGAAGGAACCGTAATGCACCTCGGTGCACTGGGCAGTTTCCGCCGTGCGCATCGACCCTCCTGCCCAGCCGATGCACTTTACCTCCTGCGTTTCCTCCGGCAGCTTTTTCTCCCGCTTCCCTTTTTACCGTCCCGGGAGAGAAATGGGCCTGGAGAGAGAGAGAGAGACGTCGAAGGCATTTCTTCGGCCGGGCGCGAAGAAAAGACTCGCTCGGGCTCGACTCCGAGGAATCGTTATGAATTATGAATGGCGGCGACACGAGGGCGACTCGAGGGGGGCGTTTCACGAACAAAGGGGGTTTGTAAAGTTGCCGGCAATGAGTGCGGAGTGCAACGTACGAGCTCCTTTGTTTACCGCCAGAAGAACGAGGTGCATTTCACGCCGGCTCTCGGCCGGGGAAAGAAACCCAGGAGCCCCGACAATGGGCACGAGTTCACGGATTTGCGCCGTCACCGATAAGAGGGCCTCTGACCGATAGCGCGATACGACGTACCGCGCGATTTACAAGGCCCGGTAATCGCTTCTGGCTACCTTCCGCGCCTCTCGACGGCGATCGATTAATAATCCCGGATTCGCCCGGCAAAGAGACCGCGCGCGGACGTATACGGCGCGATACTCCGCCGTCGATTTTTCCCCCTCGACGTCCCGAAGCACCCAAGGGAGACCGACGTCAGGCCAGGCCGTTTAATCGATGAAGAATCCGCTCGGCCTTAATTGAAAAACTTATTTGGTTTACCATTAATTAGGGGGCCGCGCTCCAGGGAGCGATCTTCTCTTAACCGGCCAGACCGATCTCTCGCCTCCGCGGCGAATCGGCCCGAGAAAGTCATTTCTCCGGGCGAGACCTCGGGATCTCTCGATTTCGATTAAACGTCAGAATTTCCGGAAGCGCCAAGAGATTCCGCGGCCATTAATTTTTTTTTATGTAAAAAAAACACTTCGACATTGTCTTGGCAAAAGAATAAAATTCTCGATCATATTCGAGGGTGAAAAATTATAGTAGGATAGAATACAACGCCGCTCGACGTACGGGCGAAATTCGTATGACCGTGCAGGCAATATTGGACCAAACGTACGGTGACTATAGTCACCCGTCGTAGCGAAAGGGCTAAGAACTCGAAGTTGCTCCAATTGTCTGGTCTTTAGCGGTTCGGGCTTAACGTTTAACGTTTTCTACGCATCTCGGCGGCAAAGGGCGAGTGCGCCTCCGCTTGCGTTTTTGCGTCGACTGTACGCTTCTCGGAATTACATGGATCTCACGGGAGAGGCTGGGGTGTGGGTCTGGACCATTGGTTATCT